TATATATATATATATATATATATATATATATATATATATAGTGATATTTCTGTTTTTAGTTATTCTTTAAGTTCTCAAAGTCACCATGCAGATCTTTGCTCCATGATCTGGTCATTGAGCATTCACTTGCTGTAAAGAGAACAATAAACTGAGGCGGGCATAGCCATTAACTAGTGGCCTCCAAACTACTCAGGAGAGGTGGGGAAGGAGCAAGGAGGACGGGAACAGGAAAATAGTGACAAAGTAGTGCCCACTGTAGAGGCAGAAAGAAAGTCGACTCTAATAGAAGGATCCCAGGGAGAAGAAAAAGAAAACCACAGGTTATTACTTACTATTTATCATTTTATTTGATTCATCAAGCACCACAGTACACTTTGCAGATTAATTAAAAGGACTGGTCCAGGACTGAACCATTCTTCACCTCAGGCTCATGTAACTTTTTTCAGGAAATTTCATATTTGGAAGGATCTCTTTCAGGTTTTATTTTAAGGAATAGATTGTGGTTTTTATCATAAGCCCTGAGGAAGGGGCGGTGTATATTTGCACTGTCTTAGGAGCATTCCAGTCTTTCAGAGTTACAGTTTGGTCTCTCCTTGCTCCATGAGGGAAATAATCTGTCCCAGCCCCTTCGTTGGTTTCTTTCTATGCCTTCACATACTTAGTGTTACTTTATGTATTTTTCTTTCCTGGCAAGGCTAAACTACTCATTGCCTCTACCGTTCAATTTTTAATTCATAAAACTTTTCTTTTCTTTCCCTACCAGGACATGGTCAAAGAGGCTTCTACTTACTTGTTCAATGCTACAAAACAGAGATTTTTTTTTCAAGGCTGTAAAAATTATAATTCCTCTGCATTGGCCGCCAAAACCTGAGTATTTAAGTGTGAAAACAGAGTCATATGATAAGGTAAGCGTTCATTACAAACCAAAAGTATTTGTTGTGTTCATACGCTTACGGCATAGGGTCTTGTCTACAAGGTGGAGTAATGCACACTACAGAGGTATGATTTCTAAAACACATTAACGTGTTGCTCATGAATTGATCCTTGTAGACCCTGCTGGTGTATACTAAATGTTCCCTGATACACTTTAACATAGTACTGCCCTTCAGAAATCTCCCCCCATAGTGCGTGTTACCCCACTGTGTAGACAAGCCCTACATTTTTCCAATAACGAGGGAATATAAATTGCTATTTTTAGAATTTGTATTGCCCTCTAGTGCCCAGTCCTGCCGTCCTTACCCAGAGAAACAATCAATGGGGGTGTTCCGTGAGTACAAGCTGCAGGATGAGCCCATTCCACAGAATCATCTGCCACCCTCCATTTCTTGATGTTCTTTAAACAAGGGCTATTTTATTTTTAGGCAGATGTTATCGTGGCTAATCCTTACTTGAAGCATGGAGATGATCCCTACACCCTGCAATATGGAAGATGTGAGGAAAAGGGACGATACATTCATTTCACTCCCAACTTCCTGTTAAATGACACTTTGCATAACATCTATGGATCACGAGGTAGCACCATCTATTGGACCTTAATTTTCTGCGTTTGTTGTTATAAATATGCAATGGCCAAGATTTTCCAAGGTGACTAGTGATTTGAGATGCCTCCCTTTTGGTTGCCCAACCTGCGAAACTTTAAAAAGAGCCTCTTTTTTCACAAAGTATTGAACATCAAGCTCCCTGGATGAGTCTGAAGTTGAACACTCAGAAATGGGGGCACCTAAAATGACCAGTCTCTTGAAAACACTGGCTAATAATTTTACAGTAAATGAACGTCATTTTTCCTCTTAAATCATTGCTTTGACGTGGAAATAATCTATATCCTAACATTACAGTGCAGTAAACTAAACTGAGAGTTGCAGTGGGTGTAACCTGGTGAGCATGCAGGTAAAACCAGTCCCAGAGGATTCTAGAATGGACCAAACTCTCATGAGCGGATCCTGCTCTGAGGACGTGAAGGTTTTTATTGGAACTTCTGAAAGTCACATTTGCCCAACTACCCTTCTTGTAAGTGTACATTCAGAAGGAATTAACAATATTCCATTTTGATTTCATCAGCATGTTTTTTGACTGCATGGGCATTGCCTATGCGAAGCCATTAATAAGCAAATAAAAAAGCTTCAATAGAGAGCTCTCAGTTTTGTGCAATGTAACCTGCTGTCATTAACAATGACTTTCTCTTATGCCCATTTAACCAATATACTGTCCAATTTATTTATCTCTGTTCCATACACAAGTTAGAATCAATCATTTATGTGTTTCTTTTAAAATAGAGCAAAGTCAAAACCAGTCCCTCAAATCTGAACCCTGATAAATGTGCAAGTTTATTTGGATTCAAATCCAAGACAAACCTGCATTAGCTAGGATCAAAAATGTAGAGGTTTGTTGGCCTAAAATGGTGGAAATCTCACAAGAATAGTCTTTCTCATCAGATTTCTGGCAGTTTGGGACAAAAATCTCCTTAGAATAATTCATTGGATTCTAGTTAAGTCAAATACTAACTCAAATTCTATCCGTGTGAAGCTTTGAACGCAAACCTTGAATTCTGGTTTAGACTTAATCTGAGCTGAGCTCTGCTTCCTTGGCCAATCTTTAGTTGAAAGCTTTACTTAGACAACATTATATACATTCTCCATGTCAATGGCTTTACTAACACCTGCAAGAAAGGGGTTAGATTGTCTTGGTGAGATAGTTTGGTTTTCTACAAAAGTATTCTGGTTGTCTAACCCAGTGGTCTCCAAAAAATTTCGATCGCCCACCCCTATCAGGGAGGGGGAGGAGGCAGAGAAGAGGAACTCCTCCCTTGTAAAGTCAGCCAAACAACATTGTAAGGGAGCATTGCACAACTTTAAATAAGGATGTTAAGTGAGGAGTTACTGTACCTTGCAGGGCCAGCTCCAGGCACCAGGGTAGGAAGCACGTGCTAGGGTGGCACACTATAAGGGGCGGCATTCCGGTCAATCTTAGGGCAGCGCTCCTCCGACCGCCCTTTTTTTCCTTTTTTTCTTTGGTGGCACTCCTCCTCCCACGCTGCCCTTTTGCTCCAGCGGCGCTCCTCCCGTTGTGCCCCAAAATGGATTGTCATGCACCCCCCCTGAGGTGCGCGCACCCCACTTTGGAGACCACTGGTCTAACCTTTTACACTTTATTTGCCTTCAACTATCTACATAATTCATAGTTTTACCCTGAAAATAAGTTAAACTAACTTCTCTATGGTTTTCCAATATACACCTTCTCCTTTGTGTTATACAAGAGCTAAGAATTATGATTTTAAAAGACATAGTTAACATGAGAAACCTTGCTTGATACCTGGAATAGTCAGAAGCTCCTGTATGGAAACAGATCTTTACTTTAGGTCTGTTAATATTCTGGGAGGGTTAACCTGAACACAGTGATCTATTTGGGTTTCAAGCCGGATCCCACAGTGAGTCCTGTGTGGGCAC